TCCGATTCTGTGTCTCCCTCCCTCTCTGCCCCTCTTTCTCTCTCAAAAATAAATAAAACATTAAAAAATTAAAAAAAAAAAAAAGAATGCAGTCGAGTTCAACAGGAAAGTAGCAGACTGAGTAAAGGCAAAGTCAAATGAACTAATAATATTCAATGGGCAGGGATTTATTATACCTTAGGTCATTTAATCTACACAAAATTCAAGTGAGAGAGAAATAACCAAACGGTAAAGCCGAGGTTCTCAAACTTTCTCAGTTCATGGTGCTCTTAGTGCGTCAGCATCCCTAGGAAAAGAAATACCTAGCAGTTCTATTTATTCCGTAGACAGGTTCAGACAATTCAATGCGCATTGCTACCCCAACAACCAAGCACCTGTTGGGCCCTGCACAGCTCCTCAGACCTGCCACCTCATTTCTGGTTCCATGTGGACTTGTACACAGTATTATTTTATTCACAGAATTCCTAGATTTGATAGGTGAACACCTAGCTGCATTCCCTAGATTTCACAGCTGTGATTTGATGATTATCACAAGGAATGTAGTGATTTAACGCTGGAATGGAACAATCTCAAGCCAGGGGTTCACACAGTGGTAGACAGATATTACTGTGCTTCCCTGAAAATTTAAAAATACCCCCAGAGCCCCCTGAGAATTCACAGTGATGCCCTAGCGTGTTGAATTCAGTGCAGTTTGGGAACTGAGATAATACACTCATGATCAAAGTTTGAAGGAACTTCAAGTCAGATCTTCTCAGATTTTAACAGGCACAGGAATGGCTGGTGGAACTTGTTTTAATGTGGATTTTGATTCAGTAGCTCTTGTAGCAGGATTCTTGCACAGAGAGACGCGACACTGAGGCTTTTCTGTCGAGGGAGCAACTTTATTCATCGTACTGGCAAGGGCTCAGTGGGTTGTACCGGAAAAACTGAACCCCGATCACAGAGGGGCCTTGGCTTTTGTACAATGTTTGTTCCTTTGTCTCCCACACGTGGGAGAGTCTGAATGGGCGGTCATGTTACAAAATCCTGAGGAATGTGGCGCATGCCCTCGTAGCCAGGTTGCCTTCCCTTGTCTTGAGAGTTTCACCACATTCCTTAGGGAGGGGCTCCACCACAGCCTGGGGTGGGGTCTGAGAAGCACTTTTTCTAACAAGCTCCTGAGTATGGAAAATGCTAGTATCTAACACTAATATGGAACATGCTTTGAGTAGCGAGGTTTCTTTTTTTTTTAATGTTCATTTATTCTTGAGAGAGATAGAGCATGAGCGGGGGAGGGGTAGAGAGGGAGGGAGACACAGAATGTGAAGCAGGCTCCAGGCTCCGAGCTGTCAGCACAGAGCCCAACACGGGGCTCGAACTCACAAACCGTGAGATCATCGCCTGAACCAAAATCTGTCACAACCGATTGAGCCACCCAGGTGCCCCGACTAGCAAGGTTTTATATGAAGCAGTCAGGAAAGATTGGGCAGCCAATGTAACCATCCAGGCCTCCAAAGCCCATGCTCTTTCCCACAACCATCCTGTTTCCCATAAAACTAAAACTGTTGGTTAAAATTTTAAACAGATTTTTTGTTTGTTTGTTTGTTTACTTTGAGAGAGAGGGAGAGACCATGAGAAGGGGAGGGGCAGAGAGAGAGAGGGAGGGAGAGGATCCCAAGCAGAGCCTGGCAAGGCCTGTCACAAACTGAAATCACAATTCGAGCAGAAATCAAGAGTCAGATGCTGAACCAACTGAGCCACCCAGGTGCCCCTAAAAACACCTCTTTGCACCGAAAGCATCTCAAGAATTCTGTCTTGACCTTTCGCTCACATCACGTCATCGCCAACCCACGCAATAACAAGAAAAGCTAAGCAAACCAACAACTCTTCTTAAATCCATTTGAGAACTGAGGCCACGGGACAAGCCCCCTGCCTCCCACACTGGCGAGACAAACAGATACAGAGAATGGCGACTTACTGAGCAGAAGCGCCGCGGCAGAAACTCCCACCGACACCAGGGCTCTGTCGTCCATCTGTAGCAACACCCAGAGTGTAGCTGACAAGTGGCTGGAGGCCCAGTGCAGGCAAGACGGAGAGTGAAAAATCCAGGGAGGTTTTGGTGAGAGGTACCGTAGCCGGGAGCCCTGTCAAGTTCTCACAAAGAAGATCAGAGAAAAATCCCCTCCTGCTTCTGCAAGGGGGTGGGGGGGAAATAGCCTTTCTTAAATACACCCAGAGAATTCCATTCTTCTCAACAAGGCCTGCCCTCCAGGGCAACTGTTTTCCTAATGAGCCTGGGGGAAGGGAAGTACCCAACTCAGCCTCTTCCAGCCTCCCAGCCTCACCTGAGTGGAAATAAAGAAGCTCTCTTGAAGGTCAAGGCCCAGGGGCACGGAGATCTCACAGTAGGACGGTGGAATGCTTCCCTTCCACCAGTGCCTTGTGTCTCACTAGGGCTCCAGTATAACGACCCGGGCAGCTGAGAGAACTAAGCATCTCAAGATATTTAAGAAGTCTCTAAGGAAATCCAAAGACCACAGGGGAGACAAAAAACAAGAACACCACAGGAAAGCTTAGCCTCCAACACCTACAGCTACAGAAAACAGGAGACATAGCCCAATGCTTAGATAAACCCTCACAGTAATGGCTTATTTCCCTCAATTCCTTTTTTTAAACTTTTTTTTAAATGTTTATTTTTAAGAGAGAGAGAGAGAGAGAGACAGAGTATGAGTGGGGGAGGGGCAGAAGAGAGAGAGTCACAGAATCTGAAGCAGGCTCCAGGCTCTGAGCTGTCAGCACAGAGCCCAATGGAGGGCTCAAACCCACGAACCACATGATCACGACCTGAGCCGAAGTCTGACACTTCACCAACTGAGCCACCCCGGTGCCCCTCCCTGAATTCCATTTACCCAGTCTGTCATGTGCAGCTTGTAACGAAAAACTAGAAGCCATACTAAGAGACAAAAACCTCACAATGTGAACATGAGCCCCTGGCACATGTTCCACCGTTCCATCAGAAGTCACTTACAAAACACAAGTTCAAAACTAAAATTATTGAGAATTTCAAGATGGAAGCCTGAGAGCTTCACGGGCCCTTTGAACCACAGGGTTCTGTGTGCCTGCACTGGTCCCATGTCTGCAAAACCACCCTGCATGCCAGATTGAAGACTAGTTGAAAGGGTGGGCCTACGCCGGCCAACTCTATCTTGTTCTGTGTCCTTCACCTTGACCACACCTCCTCCCCTTGAGTAACCTCCTGCTCACCTGCCTAACAGGACTCGGACCCTTCCCCAGCCAATCGGCTGAGGCCACAGCCATTACCTCACCAACTGCCCCTAGGCCCCAATAAAACCTTTGTCCTTTTGAAACTCGCTCTCTCTCCCCGGTATCTCACCTCTGCGCTGCGTTGGTGCAGGTAGGGGATTGAGCTCGAGCTAGCTCGAATAAAGGCTCTTTTGCTTTTACATCGGACTCGGCTCCCTGGTGGTATTTGGGGATCACGAATTCTGGGCATAACATAGTTAGCATGCATAACCCAGTGGTTGCTCAGAGCTGAACTCTGCTCCAGATCCTAAGGAAAGGATCTAAGGAACTAACTTCTGGAAAGGACTGTGTTTTGAGCAGTCGGCTTACTCTAACAACTCTGTTTCCCTGTAAATCATAATAATGTTCCTGGGCCCACCTCCAGCTCAGCTGGCCCCTGGGAGCCCAATTACTTTCTCCCTGGATGCATTCCCTCACCCAGAGGGCAAAGTCATTGCCCTGCCTGTAGATCAGAGCCCCTGTTCCTGCATACGCCCTGCTGTGCTCCATCACCCACGGCAGGGATAGCTACATGACACATACAGACTCAGCTGTTTTTAGCAGGAAACTTACATGAAACTGCGTGGCATCTGCAGAAGCAAATCAATTGAGTGACATTCCTGTAAGATACAGTATTTACTTAAATCAAAGCTATTTGGTAAGACAAACAATAAAACACAGTTAACATTGTCGCATACCTCAAGATCGCTGATAGCTTTTCATGACTAGGAGAACAGGAAAGAATTCAGGAAACACTCAACAAAGCCCTGGTCCCACTGGGGATACCCGCTGGCCATCAGATTTTAGACAACAAATCATAGTTCCTGCAGCATGTTGGAAGCAGCACAGCATCCCCGGCTACGAGAATCCTCCGTGGTGGCTGGCCAGGCAACAGTAACTGTAACAGAGGCAGGTACATTGCTAAATATCATCACAAGTGCCTTGTTGAGGGTGGACCCCGGAAAAATGAAAGACGTTTTAATTCTGCCAAGTTCCAAAATCGATTTAGATACGTAGAGGCTGGAGCTAAACTTTGGTGGTGGGGACAAAAGAGAGCTAGCTGGGAGAGTTTGGTTTTGCTCCTGAGGGAGATGCACCAGAGGAACTGAGTGGGAAGGGAAGCCTGCATTATGGGAAAATGGCCAAGGAGGTTGTTTGTTTGTTTGTTTGTTTGTTTTAATACAGGGATGTCTTGAATTCAGTGTTAAATTGTATGTGTTGCTGTAGTAATAGGATGGTATGAAATACTGATTGGGATCCATTTCTGACTCCAGAGGCTACAACAAAGTGCTGGGATAACAATGGATATCAACAAAGTGCTCAGATCCTTCAGGTCTACCAGGGTTACCAGCATTGACATGGAATCCATGCAGACAATGAGCTAGACCCAACAAAGTTAACCAACTCCTTCCATGGGCATACAGATAGGCCTGGGTGCAGTGAAGGTGTAAGCTTGCACAAAGAAAGGTTTGGTCCTGCTGTGTTCCTGGATGGTAATCTCTGAGCCCTTGGAATGTCCTGCCTGATAGGAGTATATTTGTTTACATGGGGGCCTTGGGTCATACCAGATAGTCTATGCCAATAGTGTGATTTATGCTGGGGGCCTTGGACCACATGATATCAGCTTGATGTCTAAGGTCTGGAGACTGAAGTCAGTCACATGGGCAGGCAGCCATGCCTACATGACTGACTCCCAATAAAAATCTTGGACACCAAGGCTTAGGTGAGTTTCTCGGGTTAGCAATGCTCTGTGTGTGTCAGCACACATAGTTGCTGAGGGAAGTAAACACTGTCCCATGATGCCATTGGGAGAGGACAAATGGAAGCTCATGCCTGGTTTCTCTTGGACATTGTTCTATGCACCTCTTCCCTTTCCTGATTTTAATTTGTGTCCTTTCACTGAATAAATCATAATAGTGAGTATATTGGCTTTTCTGAGTTCTCCTAGAGAATCATGGAACATGAGGGTGGTCTTGGGGACCTCCCGAACTGCAGCCTGTCCCTTCTTTCCCCCACCAGGTGAATGCAGAGGAAAGAAAGGCTGGAGGAACAGACCATCCCCACCCGCTCTTTGTTCTTCAGGCCCAGATCAGGGGTCCCTTCCCTGCCCTAAGAGGGGTGAAAGTGGACATGAGAGTGAAGCAGTAAAAATGAGCAGGATGACATTTTTGTAACTGGAATTAGGCCGTTATAATAACGAAGTGAATGGAAAGGAAGAGTAGGTATGAGATGTGGAGGGAGCCTTCCTGATGCTTGAACAGAGCCCAGGGGGAGGAGTTATTTTTAAAAGTTTCATATTTACACCTTCCCATTGGGAATGCCTCAGTGAAGTTGGCCTTCTCACAGATCCCCTTCTGCACAGCACAGTCGATCTCAACCCCCGACTGTACTTTAGAACCGCCCAATGCACCTGGGCCTTGTCTCCAGAGATTCTAATTTAATTTGTCTGGTCTAGAGGCTTGACATTAAATTTGTTTTTAGTTAGCTTTATTGCTAAATAAGTGACAAACAGTGAAATTACCAGTTTGTTGAGCTTTGAAAAATGTATACAGAAATATAAATGTTACAATAATCATGATGAAGAATATATCCATCTCCCGGAAATGTGCCTGATTGATCTGCGTGGCTTGCAAACATAAATTTATTTTTCCCAGTTCTGGAGGTTGGAAAGTCCAAGATAGAGGCACTAGCAAAGTCAAGGTCTAGTGAGGGCCTGCTTCCTGGTTCATAGCTGGCACCTTCTCTCACATGGTATCCTCACCTGGTGGAAAGGGCTAGTGATCTCCCTGGTGCCTCTTTTTACCAGGCACTAATCCCATTTATGAGGGCTCTACCCTCATGATCTAATCACCTCCCAAAGATCCCACGTCCTCATACCATCAACTTTTGGGGTTAGGATTCATATAGGAATTGGCTGGGAAGGGGTGGGGCACATTCAGACCGTAGGCATTTCCTTGAAAGTCAGTAGAGTCAGTAACATTCCTTTAACCCCTGGCTTCTGACAAACAATGATCTAATTTCTGTCTGTATAATTGTGCCTTTTCTAGAATTCATATAAATTGAATTATATATCATGTCATCATTGGGTCTAATTTCTTTCACTTTGAAATTCATCCACGTTGTGCTTATCAGTAGTCACTTTTTATTGCTGAATATTTGCCAATCTATGTATATACTGTAGTTTTGTTTGTTTTGGTTTGGTTTTGTTTTTTTTTTTTTTTTT